CTTCTATTTTCTCTTCTTTAGTGGGTGTTCAAATGCAAATCTACACAGCTCTGAATTTCTTACACTCAGAACAGTCTGGGATTCCTCCTGTATGTGAAATACAGTTAAAATCTGAACCAAATACTTCAAAAGGAAAAAGGCATTTTCCTCATAGAAGTCGTATGCTTGAAGCTAATCTGGTGATGCCTGGGGGACCTTTGGAATGTTTGTAATTGCCAGGACTTACGTATTGAGTGAGAAACTTGGGTTCACACCTTGTGTTTTGAGAAGGTGGAATGTGTATCACAGGGGCTTGTAACAGACTGGGCCAACGCTTGGACTAAATGGTACAGACCATAGGGTCTCCTGAGGAGCAGATCTGAAAATCTCTGGTGTCACATTCAAAGGAATTTTGGTGGTAGATGGTGAAGACTGTGCTGACCCAGGAGTTTGATTTTGCCTTCTGTGCTAGGTTATGGGAAGGTTGAACAGTTCTGCTCCTCCTGGACAAATGCAGTTTGCCCTGGTTGTTATATTCTTTTCAAGATTGAAATTGAAGTGTTTTTGAAAACAACCAGCATTCCTTAAAAATACTTATTTCTAAAGGCAACACCAGTATTCCAGTGTAACCTTGATGGTTTTTACTGGAATTTACTGACTTCTACAGCAGGACAGTCAACTTTAAAATGTAGAGCAATATTCCACAAATCTGATCAAGGAACTGTATTTCAGGTTGAGAATAATATCCATTTCTGTACTTGGAAAACTTCTGCAAGTGTTTTATGATGTGGTTGGAGTTCATAAGTAGAACTGCCAGGACTGATGCATCACTACATTGGAAATGCAAAAAAATTTGCATCTTGAAACTGTGGGAAGCTTTTCCTTCATGTGGGTTGGGAGAGGGCAGGAGACGAGACCCAAAGTCCTGTCTCTGTCACTTTTTTATCAGTTAGATTGTAATGTCTGATTCATCCTTCCCTCAGAAGCCTCCTCACTTGCTTTAAGGAGCCTTTTTGTTTATCAGATTGGAAGGAGTCCTGTCTGACCTCTCTGATCTGTCCATCATCTGTCAGGACACCTCTGAAACCTAAAGGTTGTCTTTGATGGTTGAGCTCATGATACAGCTTAGAATGGCACTGAGAGAAATCATCCAATTGCAAGCTTACATAAAGCTCCCCTAAATAAGTGTTTCTGTCTTACTCATTTCACCAATTTTAGTTTTATTGTATGGACCTGGAATAATACTTTAGTTCATAGCTTTGCCTATATTACTGTCTTTCTAATCCCCTCCCTTTTGCCACCATGATATAAAAATTGATTTCTTGAACAAGCTGATGTATTCTATTGAGTATTTTTGATGAGCCACATTGATAAATGCATTTTAAAAACTGTGTTTTCTATTATGGGGTTGGGAACCAGACATGGTTCCCAACCCCATAATAACCAGTCTCTTAGTCTTACTTTATGGGTACATAAGCTTGTGGCACTGAGAAGAGTGAAAAACATCTAGCAAGCATGACACAGAGAGGCAGGAAAGGGGGGCAGCAGTGTTCACTTCGAAGATTTTCTTTCAACCCAGTATTAGACTGGAAGAAAAAAAAAGAAAAGAGTATTTGTATGACTATATTGTCATGCTGGCAAGGCCAATGCTTTCCCTCTGCTTCAGGGGAATGAGCTCCTCTTCAGGATAAGGGTCCCTCGAAAGTGCCCGTCCCTGGGTAGTTCTTTAACAGGTACTTAGTGCTGTACTGCTGAATTCAGCTGTCCTGGAGAGAGCTGGAGAGAGAGGGCAGTGAATGCCACCTGTACAGTTCTGAGGGTTTCTGTTTCAGCTTGTGTGTGTAGTAAGTGGAGTATAATAGACAAAAACAAAAAAAAAGAAAAGAAAAGACAATCCTCAATTTGATAAACCTTACAGGAAGTATGTTCTGTGCCTAGCAGTGTGTCTGATAGTTCTCTGTGGGTTTTGATAGAGGTTTTTCTTCCCCCAAACATCTCTTTGGATAAGTATTAAGGACCTTGAATTCAGATTTGGGGAGGCCAGTGTCATGGGCAGGTAGGCTGATAAGACTTTGCAAGCTTCACTTCTGTGGGCCCTTCTCTGCAGTTTTAGTGACAAAGGACTGAGCTTACCCTGGGATTTTAAGAGCACATATTTCTAATAGAACTTGGCAGTTCAAGGGCTAGAGAAGCATTTTAATCTTTTGTGCCCACCCAGTCTCTATACAAATGTAAATATGTCTGCCTTTAACAATTTGCCAAGAAATGTGGTTTTAATTTGTTAGCAGCAATCCCACTCCCTGCAGCTCTTTGAGAGTCGAGTCGCAAGTCTGGCGGTGCTTTGACGTTTTTCTCTGTCATGGTGTCATTGTTTATATGATGTCTGCTTCTGCTGTCCTCCCTTTTATGCCTGGAATATTTTTCTTTAATTATTTCACTGCCTAAAAGGAATCTGGGATTACTAGACAGGATGAGAGCAGATTAGCTTTTTTTTCTTTCTTTAGCAAGTCCTGAAGTTCCCATAGGAAATAAATAGTATTCCCAAAACAGACAGTGTGGGTTTTTTTTTTTTTTTTTTTTAATTAACTAAAATTATTAAGTCTAATAAAGAAAATAAAGGAAGTATCACCAATAATGGCTGTGTGTCTTAGTAGTATATGGAGTGCCCACTGTTGTTATTTATGACTCCCTTTGCCTTCTATTGTGGACTTATTCCAGCCTTAGGGAGTTTACATCACTACTAATAGCAAAAGGCTCTCTGGTTCCCACAGAGTCTTTCAGAGCCTGACTCATATGCCTTATGTTAATTGTTCAGCTCTCAAAATACAGCACTTACAGGGTGTGGTTCCGAGGGGAAAATCTACTGTACTTAGAGGGCATGTTCAGAAGTGTTTCACATATAAATCATTTTGATTTTTACTTTTTTTGATGCCTTAACCCTTTCTGTCACTACTTTGTGTGAGAAGTTATTTGAAAGCAAAACAAAAGGTCGATGACAGCGCAGTGAGGGAATGTGTTAGCCCTGCAACTTGGGGCCATGAGCTCCAGGCTGACTCAATTCACAAGTGCTGCGATTTTGTCATCCTGGCCTCTCTGCAGGGTCTGCTCCTCACAGCCTGACACGACCCAGTCCTGCAAGGGTCTTGAGTCAGAGGCAAGTCAGGGCTGGGGCTTATTCCTGATCTGCAGTAGGGAGTACATGGGCACAGGAACTATCCCCCCCTCCCCTGGATTTTGTACCAAGGGCTCCTTTCTGTGCATTGCTTACCAGAGTGACAAGAGTTGCCTGAGTGGGCTGCTGATCCTGGCCTGGTCAGCGTGCTGGGGGCTGAAGGTTTAACAGAATTAACCTGACCCCTTTCCACCCAGCAGGAACTCATATGGGCTCTGGCTCTCCGGCCAAGTACGAGTGCTCTCCAGCTGCTTTGATGCACGGTGATTGTGCAAGACCCTTCAGCCTCCAAGTTGTGTGGCTGTTACTGGAAATCAAAATAGTTTCTACAGACTTTGCAGTCTCTGCCTTCTCTTAAAATAAGCACAAGGCTCGAATATCATAGTAGTATTTCATTCTTTAATGGCTTAGTATTAAAAGTATGAAAATATATTTAGTCAAATTAGGGGAATCTACCTCCAGCAAGAATAGAAGCAGCAATTAATCCCTCAGATTAAACTAGTTAAGCTTGATTTCTGAGGCTGGGATCACATTGCATGTATGCTCCATGTGTTTTCTGCCTGCTGTAAACACACTCCTTACACCACGTGTGGACAGAACTTCTTGCCTGGCTCAGTGTGCACATTTGTGTAACTTGTCTCTGAAAGGAAGAGCAGAACAGCTGTAGCTTTAAGTGCCAAAATGGCTTTACTTCTTTGCCTGACTACCCTCCTTCTGCTTGCAAAATAAGAAGCTGTTTTCACTGGCTATTTCTTCTGGAAAGAACATGGCGGTCCCCCCTGCCCTCTCCTCTAAAACAGAAATAAAAATGGGCAGGGCTAAGTGACGGGTTCCCAAGGGCTGTTCCAGGCAGGGGTCATGTACAGGCTGTGGCTTTGTGCCTCTGCTGGCTGTCTCTGTGTCCCTCAGTTCTGCCACACCACCTGGATCCAGTGCCTCACCAAGGAGTGGGCTGGAGCTCCCCTGCGTTTGGGGAGCCGTCAGAGGCTGCATCGCAGGGGCTGAGGGAGAAAAGTGCTCTCAAAGACAAGGAGATGCACAAAGCCTCTTCTCCTCTTGACTTCACCACTGCTTTTTCCTCCCCTCCATAGCCTCAGACGTAATACTTCTTTGGAAGTGTGTGGTAGTTAATAGTGAAATCAGCAAACAGCTCTTCTTTGATTGAGATTGTTTCATTGTGAAGGGAAGTGCTCACAGCTTGAAGAAAAAGCATTTTCCTTCCCTCCCGCTCGCCCCAACCTCGTATTATATAAAAGGATGGTGCTGCTGTTAGCTGAGACCAGAAAGAATTCCCCTGTTGTCCTGTAGTAGCCAACCACTACAAGCTGTGAGCGTTTAAATGTTAGAATTAAAAGTTTTAACCCTTGCCTTGTTCGATGAGCAAATAACGCTGTGTATGTTTTTTTCTAAGTATGGAAAATTATGGGAATTCCTCTGAGAATAAGTGTACAGACCACTGCGCCAGTCAGTCTCTTCAGAAAAAAAACTGACAAGCGTGCTCCTGTCTGCAAGAGAGATTCCTGGCATTTGTCACAGTTTGAGCCACAAAGATGTCAAATATTTGCCAACAGTTTCCTCAGATGGTTTGGAAAGCTACATCCTTTACACTGCAGTCCTGTTTGTTTGCGGTGTATTTTAGCATATGAAATATGTTGCTTGGGAGTCAAGGGGAGGGAACTGACTAGACTCCCAAATATTAAAAGATTAAAAATAATTGTTTCTTTTAGACTGCTCGGATCAAAATAAAATAAAGAACAGCTGTAAATCTTGGTGTTAGAAATGGAGCTTTCTGTTGGATAATCATAGTTTGATGTGTCATGCTTTAAACCTGTATTTTCTTTTGGAACAGAAAGAAGAACTTTCCAATGGGACGTCTGAATATTTTACTGAATCTGCTGAGAACAAGAAGCTTAAGATTAGTCTGAGTGAACAAATAAAGAGAGACATCCTGAGAAAAATGTATGCCACTATTCTTTATAAGCTTTTGAATTTATAATTGGTAAAATTTGGTAGAATCTAGCTTATGAAATCAAATAAAAATTTAAATAATATAAAATTTTAAATAATATAAACTACTTTACAAAAGATTGTTTTAAATTACTGAAAGATTACTACTGTAGTGTGGATAAGCACATAAAATGATTGTTGTTTTTTACAGCATGGAGAAGGCTATTACAACCCACATAGATGTCACACATAGCACTAGGCAGAATCAAAACAGGCTGTTTTTCCTTGAATGAAGCTCTGAGCCAAAATAAATATATGATGCTTGAATCGAGTGAAAAACACTTCACGAATATTTTTTTTGTTGTTCATTTTGAGACTCTGGATCAATAGTAACAATTAAAGAGTATCCCTGGTGGAGTGGATGGGGAGAATGAGCTGATCAGCTGAACTTGTCACTGCTCCATGTGGTGGGAGATGCCAGCAGCCCCAAATCACCTGTGACATCAGAGATTTGCTGTAAACCCTGGCAACTTTTCTTTTTACCACTGTTGTCTCATCTGTGTTGTCTTTAGCAATGAGATTAGCTTTGGGGGTATGCCAGCTCTACCTGTTTTGGATGAGCCCTCTTTGACAGGAGTTAGATGCGCTGTCCTGGAAACAGCTGGGCAGCAAAACGTGATCTCAGCCTCGGGCTGAGATCTAGCAACGTCTTTAGACTCAAAATGCAGCTTCAGGACTGAGGCATAAAGTTCATCTTAGGGGCTGTGTGAAATGTAGATCCATAGGTAACACAGTGCTGAGGAGTGTTTGTGTACTGACACTCCGGCAGGTCCCTTGTGGTCCCATTTTCCTGTGTAATTCCTTTCAGAATATCATCTACTTGCATTACCAAAGTCCTTGCCAGATGAATGGGCTTGATACTAGATGAGTAGTGGTTAACTTTAAAGCAACGCTTTGAAATGTCCTGGGAAAAATTCCAGAGGAACATTCTAAAATAGAGATTAGGAGCTCTCACACAGAGGCGCACTCACTGCCTCTCCCGCCTGCCCCCTCTGTCCTGTAGATATGCATTATACATGGGGATGTATGGGAATGGTTTGCAATCATTTAGGCACTTGGGAAACGCTGTTTTATCTAGCCGGTTCGGAAAGGAATTCAATATACTTCTGCTCTGTTGACCTTTAACATCTGTAATGAATCCAGTTCTGCCTCTTGGAAAAGAGTGTGAACTCACTTCTTCATGGCTTAGTCATTAATAAATAGGGCTCTCCCCTAGCGCGGTGGAAAATCAGATGGATAACGCTTGATATTATCCACACTAGGCAAACACTGCTGCTTGTCAAGATGATACACAGGGATTTTTTCCATGTTCAGAAATTGGGTGGCCCAAGTGGTGTTTCAGAGTTGGAAAAACAGTAAGTGGAGTCAGTAAAGGTTCATTTTTAATTTAAAAAACAAAATTCCTTTTTATTGCAGTGTGAAGAGGACAAAACCAAGGAGAAGTAGTGCAAGCAAACCTCAAATCAGCAAGGACTCCAAGAAAGTGTATCTTGGCTGTGCAGACTTGCAGACAGAGAACAGAGACTGTGAGAGTTCTCTCAGTGCTCGGTCTGCTGTGAAACGTAGGAGCCCAGGCCTGCTGAAGGACTGCACAAACACAGCTGAGAGCAGCTTGGGACTTCCTGTGCTGGAGCAGAGAAATGATGTTCATCAGAGAGAGCCAGGAGGGGTTCACAGCCAGCACAAACCTGACTCTCTGGAGTGGCCAGAGGCGAGTCTGCTAAGTGAGAGCCCTCCTTGCAGCTCCGAGTCAGCGCTGCCGGCTCCTAGACAGAGTCAGAGGGTGGCCAGAGCACAGGCTCAGCTCGACACCCCTGGTTCTGAGGAAAAGTCAGAGCATTTCACAGAAGTGTCCTCTGAAGAGACTCCTTTAACTTGTATCCATACAGAAATGAGTAAGTGTGATGATCATTGTTTGGGTCCATTCCTGGAGGAGAAGACACCTCTTAATTCCAGGTTGTTTTCAAAGCAAGACGTGACAAAGACTGTGGTTGACAAGAACTCATTGATATTGAGAAAAAACCCCTCTTGGTCTCTTTTTGTGAGCAGCAGTGGAGTGCAGACAAGCCAAAGTGAGCCAAGCACAGTCCCTGAAGAGCTGCCTGCAGTGCCATCATCATGTCTAGAACTGCACCCTGTGTCTTCAGAGAAGCTTTCCCAAAAAAGAAAAAAAGAAGTGGAAAATGGTCTCCGGAAGTTAAAACTGCGAAGGCTTAAGAAGTCAAAATCTGAAATACTGCCTTGATAGCATGAGTGATCAGCCAAGGTTGTGCCTAAGCAAAGAGCAAGAAGCAATTCAAAATGATGGAAAACAATAAAAATACAAAATCAAAATTAGAGAACACATTAAGAAAATTTAGTTAACTAAGGATCTTAGTCATTTGGCACTGTAATAAAGGTAATCCTTTTAAGTCTTTAGGAATTAGTCATGATTATTGCACAAGTCATCATCGTATTTATAGAAAGAAAAATCTCTTATAAAATAATATTTACTAAGCAAAATTTTAGATTTATACATATTCAGTGCTATTAAAAAGTCATATCAGCTGCTGACAGCAAAAGTTAAAACTCCTTGTGTGATCTGTTAGCAGCTGCAGTTATTTGGTCTCTTGCTTGTTTCTGAGCATGTAGTTTATTTCAGTAAAAAATTAACCCTTTCTCTGTATTAGAAAGTTCCTGGTTTACTAACATGATCTTTACAGCAATAAAGCAAATTAAGTTTATTTCAAATAACTCTTTAACCAGGATTATTAGCTGATGATTTGAGGCCCACTTCTTCAGAGAAGTTTCAAAATAACTATAGTTTCTGCTTGTGTCGTTTTGATATGAACATTTAATTCTAGCCCATGTTGTGAATACAAGTCATCATGCATTCAGTCTTGGGCGAAAATGAAGGTTTCCTTTATATATTTAGATTTAGGTATTTACACCTGGATGTGCGAACTTTGTTCTTGGGTGAAGTTCATGTATAAACATATATACACATCTTCATGGATACATGTTTCAAAATTAGGCCTTGCTTGTGTGCAAGAGCAACACGCTGGTTTTCATGTGGAAGTAATGCCACAGTTAAATCTTATTTTAAGATAAATTTTAATTTCACAGTGCTTGTTCATACTGCTTCTTAAATTGAAATGCTAATGAGCTAAGGAAATGTACCTTTTTTATTTCATGCTTATCTTTTTTAATGTGTAGAATAAATGTACAAGCCGTTTTCTTTCCTCATTCTCAAGCTCTGTGAGCACAGCCCCTGAGCTGGCAGTGCCCCGGCAGCCAGGAGGGCCAGCCATGTCCTTGGCATAGGCCCAGCAGGGACTGTCCCACCCGGCTCTGGCCTCGGGCTGGGGACAGCTGGGGGCACTGGGATGTAGAAAAGATACAGAGGTGCTTGAGAACATCCCGAGGAGTGCACAGGGATGGTGAAGGCCTTGAGGGGAAGCGCTGTGAGGAGCAGCACCGGGCTGTTCAGCCTGGAGCAGAGCAGACTGAGGGGAGACCTCACGGAGCTACAGCTTCCTGGTGAGGGGAGCAGGAGGTGACAGTGACAGCCCCTGAGGGAATGGCCTCAAGTTGTGTCAGGGCAGGTTTAGCTTGGACATCAGGAAGAGATTTTCCACCCAGAAGCTGGCTGGGCACCGGGCAGGCTCCCATGAGAAGTGGTCACTGCACCAAGGCCGGCAGAGCTCAGGAGGCGTTTGAGCAATGCTCCCATGCACAGGAGGGATTGTTGGGGTGTCCTGTGCAGGGCCAGGAGCTGGGCTTTGATGATGCTTGGGAGTCTCTTCCAGCTCAGCATGTTCTGTGCTCTCTGATGTTGCGTGAAGTAATTTAGAAAAATCTCAGTGACATTTACTTACGACTGTGGATCTCTTCATTGAGGTTAAGGAGATGATTCACATGCAGGAGCATTAGAGTTGGTGGTGTAACCCAGGTCCTGATGAGAGTTAGCAGCTCTGCAGCTGACAGCAGGACACTGCTGATTGTACAGCTTCCTCCTGCTGGAAGTGATTTCTGTTCTTGCTGCAAATGAAGAAGATTCTGCATGTGTCTGGAGGACATGTTCTCTTTTTTCTTTCAGCTCTTTGGGTGATGTTTCTCAGTGCTTTGCAGTCAGGTTGCAAATCCTTACCCAGCTCCAGGCTCTGCTAAAAGTTCTTTCCCAGTACCAGCAAAGCCAAGGCTGCAAATAACCTGGTTTGGAGGAAGAAGAGCCTGAGGTATGTTTGCTGTTGTCTTTTTTATGCACTGGAGATACTGGGCCAGGAAGGGAGTAAAAAGCACCTTTTTTGAGGGACTTGAAAGAGGTATAGGGATAGTTAATTAAGCATTTATCAGAAAAATGACAGTAGTTAGAATAATTTGATATTTTATATTAAAGTCTTAGCATTGATAATTCAAGTATCAGAAACCAGAGGGCAACCACATATAGTTTTTATCACATCAGTTTTAATCACCACTGTTATTATGTGTGTGTGTCTATATATATATATGTATATGTCTATATATATATATATATTAACTTTATAATTACAATTTAGTTTTAATCTTGATTGAATAACAGACCTGCCTGCACCCTTTCAAATGAAGGTCATATATTTAGAGGGGGCTTAGGTAGGTTAAACCATTGTCTGTGTAGGTAAGACCACTTGATTTTTCCTTTGGATATTTTGTTATGTTAGTTAAAATGCTCTTTTTATCTCTTCTCTGATGCCTGGGAACGTCTCCCTTTCAAAGCAGTGGTCAAGCAACAGTGAGAGAGGTAAGGGTGATTGAGGGTGTTAGAGGCTGGAGAGTCAGAGCAGACAGCTGGGCTTTCTCTCAAGTCCACAGTGGCATCATTCCTTTTGTCCTTTCTGTCTTGATAAGTTCTAGGCTCTTTGGAGCTGTGTATTTTTGAGCTTCATTACTACCAAAAGTTGTGATCCTCTCAGAAATGCAGCTGTTTAGGGAAAAGGCTTTGAATTCGCAGCCATTTCTGGATTTTAGAAGGTGTTGCTGCTCAAAAGTGTGCTTTCTTTTGTCTGTGCAGCAGGACTTTAATACCAGCTACTCCTTTGCAAACCTGGTGGTGCTTTGGGGTGCTGGGATACCCAGGCAGTGTCTGTGTCTCTCTCCTCTCTCTGCTTTGAGCCCAGGGTCATCTTCTCAGACTTTGCTTTTTTCTTTATCACCCAGAGGACTAGCACAGGTGTGGTCTGGCATGCTCTAGAACCACAAACCTGAATTCCTAAATCAGGTTTAGAGGGAAAAAAAGGGAACTGGAAACTGAGCTGAAGTAAATTAGCAGTTTGCAAGTCTTGGCTTTCTTTTTATCTAATTGCTTCTGTGCAGCAACCTGAATTCCTAAATCAGGTTTAGAGGGAAAAAAAGGGAACTGGAAACTGAGCTGAAATAAAACTAGCATACCTTTCTGTAAAAGTAAGGAATACTTAATATCTGTTCTGAAGCTGCCATTGAAGCACAGAAACAATATCTTTGGTTCATTTTTTATCCTAAACCAGCCAGCTTTGGTGGGTTATTATTTTTAATGAATCATCTGGTTCATCTGGTCTATGCTTTTGCTGATAATCAAACAGTTGTTTCCTAGTGAAACACTTTCTAATGTGTGCAGGTGATCGTTTCCATTATTCTTTACATCAAAGCAGTTAAAAATATTTGTTTAGTGGACTTCTGTGGTTAAACACGGATCAAAAGCTAGACCAGCCTTTTACATAATCATTTATAAAGAGGAAGCAGCTCATGTGAAATCTCCCTTGCCCAGTGCTGGTGGGTAGGAAGGTTTTCAGTGTCCCAAGATCTTGTGGGTACTAAGCTTTGTGCTGGTTCTGGTGTTACCTGCCAGGTAAGCACCCAGGCCTCCCTTTCTACAGAAGGTTTTGTCCAGGTGAGGTGTTAAGGTGTTAAGTAGCTTTTGAAGGCATTTCTTTGGTCAGTGTGAACTTCCTTCCCTCTCACTGCTCAGCATGTGGACTGCATTGGATCAGTTTTAATTGGCAGTTTACATCATCGTCTCATTGGCTTTTGACTAGAAAATGGTTTCTTCCTAAAGAAAAAAAAATGGGGAAAATATTTTTCTGTTTGCAATTGGAATAAGAAAGCTGTGAAGTATAGACTGTCCCAGATTGCATGCTAGGAGTAGGTATCTCCTTGGCTTTATCAGTACCCAGGGAAAGGTTCTCTATTCAAAGCAGAGGCAATAACTCTGAGCCTTTTGGCAGCAGTGGGAAGTGTGGGTTGGCCTCAGAAATTAGCTTTAATAAAAGGCACTCCTCACTTCTTTGCTTTGTGCTTTTTTCTCCTTTAATAAACATCAACTGGCTGGCAGTAACCCGGGCGAAGGAGAAGATGTGGGCTGAGGGAACGGCCACGCACGGAGCCTTTCATCACAGGATATCAAAGCACTCCAGCTGAACCTGCAGGGAGCTGGAAGTGCTTATTCACTGAGGGAAGAGCTGCTTCCAAGGTAAAGCAGACTGGTTAAGGAGCAGCACATTCTTTCATCAACGCACACGAGTCCTTTCGTCCACCTGTTTGCCCCAGATCATTAAAATCGAGCCTGGTAGTGCATGACCTCGTCCCTTACAATTAGGTGACATTTTTAGGTAGGGACTTTTTGGTTGTTTGGTGTTGCCTTATGCTGAGAAATCCTGATAGTTGTGGAAGTGTCACAAGGCATTTCAGTTGTAACCTGGAATTTGTTCAGGAAATTAGCCACAACTGTCCTACCTCCCTTACTATCCACTTAAATTGTTCCAGAGCTGGGAATCTGTTCCTGTGAGAGCTGACAGTGCACCTTTTGTGAAGGGCAGTTTCAGTGATTTGCTCCCATTCTGTCCAAGTTAAATCTTTTAGTACAGCAGTAGGAATTGGTACTCTAGCTCTATAACTGCCTTACTTGCTGGCATAATAATTATCTGTTTTATTTATGCATCAGATCTTTAAAGAAAAGTGTCTTGAGCTCTAATTCTAGAGCTGGGCATGCCTCTTTTTAATATTAATATGATCTCATAGTGCTAGAATGAAAGGAATAGAGATTTATTTCTCCACCCTGTAGGGAAACTGGTTGAAACAATTTGCACATCACAGAAGGCGCTCGCTGGCAGATCTGGGCTGGGACTCCAGTCTGACGCCGTCTGATCCCGCGTGGCTCTGGCTCTGCTGCTGCCCCAGTGCCAGGGAAGCACTGCTGAACCATCCAGAGCCTGTACCCCTCTCCTCTCCTCCGCCTCAGAAACTGCACTCATCCTTCCTTGTACAGCTTTTTCACTGGGTTTTCCCTCTATTGGGAGAAATCATTGACCTTGGCAAGCAAGCTCAGTGGGCACTGGCAAACAGTA